GGGCCACAGAGAGCAACCCTGTCTTAAAAAAAACAAAACAAAACAAAATGGGAGTCCGGGGGAAGCTGGAGAGATGGCTCAGCAGTTAAGAGCATCGGCTGATCTTCCAGAGGTCCTGAGTTCAATTCCCAGCATGAATTGAACTACATGATGGCTCACAACCATTTGTAATGGGATCTGATGCCCTCTTCTGGTGTGTCTGTATTCTTATACACGAGATAGATAAATAATTAGTAACTAAATAGCTGAATAAATAGCTAAATAAATAAATAAATGTAGGCATAGTGGCACATGCCTTTAATCCCAATATTCAAAGGGCAAAGGAAAGGATCTATATGAATTCAAGGCTAGTCTGGTCCATACAGAAAGTTCTAGGACAGCCAGGACTACATAAAGAGACCCTGCCTCAAAACAAACAAACAAACAAACAAACAAACAAACAAACAAAAGCAAGAATAAAGGGAGAGTGGTATAGGCCTGTAATGCCAGCAGTTGGGAGACAGAGGCAGGATGGTGAAGAATGCAAGGCCAACCTGGGCTACACAAGGATACCTTGTCTCATAAACATAACAGAGAACAATAATGATACAATCTTTTTGGGTTGTCAGCTTAGCAACAATTAAATGGAATATTAAGCATCCACCCTGCAGAGCAATTCAGTGAGGAAATTTTGGAGAGCAGTTGACAGTGTCTACCAAAATAACAACTGTGGCCGGGCTTGCTGGGAAGCTGAGGCAGGAGGATCACAGAGCCACAGCCAGTCTGCAGGCCAGAGAAGGGCACCAGATCTCACTGTAGGTGGTTATGAGCCATCATGTGGTTGCTGGGAGTCGAACTTAGAACCTCTGGAAAAGTAGCCAGTGCTTTTAACCTTTGAGCCATCTCACCAGTCCTGAGAGTTTTGATTTCTTGAAAATCCCAGTTATGTTATGTGAAAATGTTTTTGTTTTAATGCCGGATGTGTGATATGGGCTGATTCAGTTTGCCCACAGTCATTAATAATATTCTAGGGGAGTGTGATTTTTTTTTTTTGCCAGTTTCAGATAGTTTAATTCTGGGGACTCTGGAGAGGATATAAATTCCAGATCCCTGAGAGGGCCTGTGGTGGCTGCTGACCCCCTGCTGCTGTGTTTGTTATTGCTGGCTTGCTGGCTTGCTATTGCTGGGTTGCTGGTTGGAGATAGCCTGATGATGGAGATTGGACTTGCCCCAAGGAACCCCATACCTCTAAACAACAGGAAGTAGACTAAAGAGGTCTACACTCCTTTTCCCCTCTAAAATTCTTTTTCTCCTACCTAGTGTTGGAGGGTTGGAAGGGATCAGGGTGAAATAAGGGTTGGAAGAGTGGTAGATATAAGAACCCAATAAAACAACCCCCAAGCATGCACTAACAAAAGTACCTACACATTTACCTAGAAATCCTGCCTCTGGGAACCGTTTCCTCGAAGCACGTGCATATATGAGCAGATGTGTATGGTACAGAGCTCATAGCACTGTTTGGAGGACACTGTGACTCAGCAGTGGTGTGGTGCTGGCCTAGCAGTGTGAAGGGCTCTGTTGGCTTCACTGGGGGGGGGACCCTTAACAGAAGGATTGGGGCAGTATGAAGACTAGGTCTCTACTACAAAAGAATAAAGGAGGCCAGGACGATGACTTCAGCAAAACGCTCTCGCAAAAACAAGGACTTGGGTTCGATACCCAGAATTCCTCACACAAAAAAGATGGTCTCTTTGTGATCCCAGCATCAAAGAAGTGGAAATCTGTGGATTCCTGGGGCTCCTTGGCAAGCCAGCCTAGATTACTTGACAAGCTCCAGGTCAAAGAGATACCCTGTCTCAAACAATTTGAGGAATGACATCTAAGTTATACTTTGGCCTCCTCATGTGCTCTCTCTCTCTCTCTCTCTCCCCCCCCCCCCGTCACACACACACAGAGAGGGGTGGGATTAAGGGCTGGAACAGGAGCTAGAGAGATGGTTAAGAGAGAGGCTAAGAATCCTGGTTGCTCTTGCAGAGAATCTGGGTTTGACTCCTACCCTATGGTGGCTCACAACCGTCTATAACTCCATTTTCAGAGGATCCAGTGGCTGCTTCCAAACTCTGGGCATCAGGCACACAGGTAGGTGCACATATGTACATACATGCAGGCAAAACACACACATAAAGTATATTTTTAAAAGTTTTTATTTTTTTTTATTTTTTTATTTTTTTACAATAAGGGCTGGGAATGTGGCTCAGTGGTTGAGCCTAGCATGCACTATCCCTGAGTTCCACTTCCAAAAATGTACACACACAAAAAGAAATTGAGATCCATAAAGAACGTCTTGTCCTGGAAATGTCTGTGAGCTAAGCTATGTTGTTACTTTATTGAAAGAAGTAAATGTAAGGACACCCACCCGCAAACACACACAGTCTATCAGGAGCATGTGTGTGTAAGTGTGAAGCGGGAGCACACGTGTGTAAGTGTGAAGCCGGTTACTTCTTTTGCGAATGAATAGAAGGGGATATAGCAGTTCTCATCACTGGTCGTACAAGGTAATCACTTTAGAAACAGAGAACCCTGTCCAGGAATTCTGAGGCACTGCCCTGGGGAGCAGCCCAAACAAGAGAATTCCAAGCTCTCCTGGAGTGGCACACGCCTTTAATCCCAGCACTTGGGAGGCAGAGGCAGGTGGATTTCTGAGTTCGAGGCCAGCCTGGTCTACAGAGTGAGTTCCGGGCTACACAGGGAAACCCTGTCTCGAAAAACGAGAGAGAGAGAGAGAGAGAGAGAGAGAGAGAGAGAGAGAGAGAGAGAGAGAGAGAGAGAGAGAGAGAGAGAGAGAGAGAGAGAGAGAGAGAGAGAGAATGAGAATATTAAGCTGGACAGTGGTGGTGCACGCCTTTCATTCCAGCACTCCAGAAACAGGCTGTTTGGGGGCAGCCTGGTCTGACGAGCGAGTTCCAGGGTTACACAAAGAAAACAATCTCAAACAACAAAAACAAAACAAAAAACCCACAATACATTGCTTTTCTCTCTTCGTTAATCGTGCCCTTGGCTCTTTTTCCTCATCTTGGGCATCTGCCACCGGCATCTAACAGGGTTAACTAACCGTTCAGCAGACAGGAACCCCCTGCCCATTTCTCCTAGGTCGGAAGAGAAATGAGCGCATGCAAGTGGCCGCTGAAAGACAAGGAAACTTCAGTCTGTGTGGAAAAGGTTCGAAGACACTAACCTAGTGGAAGGGCGTTTGCTTTGTAATTCTCTTCAGTGGATCAGAGCAGACCACGGCTGCCTCCAGCAAGCAACCGGTTTCTGTCAGGTCATGTTCAGCCACTAGGGGGAAACCATGAGCAGGAACAGTCAGCGCCCCTGAGCCTCAGAGGCTACCCATGGTCCAGGTCTGTAGCAGATAGCCCTGAAGTTAATGGGCAGGTCACAGAGGAGGGAGGTTGCGGCCCATTCTTGCCCTAAAGCACGATGATCAGGTGAGTTATTTCCATTGATCAGATTTAGCAAACCTGGCTGTATACCCATGTCCTGTGTCCTGTCCAGGTTTCCTCCCCGAGGAAAGAAGCATGCTGTCCGGCTCCATGCCCTTCTCAGCTCTCTGCCCTTTCTTGGTTCCCAGGATGGGTCTTCGCCTTGCTTGTGTATGTCTCCATTGACAAAGACGGTGGGAGGAAGGTGCTCGTCAGTGGATAATGAATAACCCCAGGTGATACGTGTTCATTTCAACCAACAGTTATAGAGTTTCTGTATAGTGGCCTGGAGGTTCAAAAGTGTTACAAACTATTCTTTGTCTTTTCATTGTTGGTTCTGACAGTTCGCCTTACTTTCCATACCAATTTTTCTTCAGCTTCATTTTTGCTGATAACATATATGGGGGTAGGGAGATCACAGTTAAAGGCTAATGACAGGTCATAGCTGAGATCTCAGAACTCTGAAGGCTGAGACAGGAGGGATGCTGTGAGTTCAAGGCCAGCCTGTGTTACAGAGTAAGATATTCTCTCTCTCTCTCTCTCTCTCTCTCTCTCTCTTTCTCTCTCTCTCTCTCCCTCTCCCTCTCCCTCTCCCTCTCCCTCTCCCTCTCCCTCTCCCCCCCCCCTCCTCCCTCTCCCTCTCCCCCCCTTCTCTCTCTGTCTCTGTCCGTCCTTTCATTTTAATTTAAAACGTTCAGATTTATTTAATGTGCATGAGTGTTCTGACTGTCTGTATGTGCACCTCATGTGTGTCTGTTCCTGTAGAAATCAGAAGAGAGCACTGGATCCCGTAGAACTGGGTGTCTGTGAACCACTATGTGGGTTCTGGGAACTAAACACTGATCCTCTGAAAAGGCACCAAGTGCCTCTAAGCACTGAGCCATCATCTCCAGCCCCAGGACCCCAAGATCCTATCTCTTAAAATGTGTGTGTGTGTGTGTGTGTGTGTGTGTGTGTGTGTCTATATTCCACACATATGTTTAGGTACCCACAGAGGCCGGTATGGGCAGTAAGATTAGAACTTGGATTCTCTGAGAGGGCAGCGAGTGTTCTTAACTGCTAAGTCGGTAACACTGTCTCAATTCCCATGCTTTCCAAAGCCAGGCTGGGATGGTGACTTCATGGTACAGTACTTTCTCAATATGTGTAACAACTTGGGTTTGATCCCCTGATTCCCCCACCCTGTAAAAAAATGAGAGAGAGAGAGAGAGAGAGCTCAACGTCTTCTCTTTCAGTTTATCCTATTTCTCTGATGCCTCTCACTGGCTGGCTCTCTCCACCTCTCTAGTTGTCTACCCACCCATTGCTAAGCCTGAGAACTCCGTCTGAACAAGATTTGGTGCTCGTCTGGCTGCACCCTTCCTCTGCCTGGCCTGGGATGCTTATGGGATTCGATCAGACAGGCAAGTGGACACTTGGGGGCTGTAGAAGCAATTCTATGGACAAGACACCGAGGGAGGAGCTGAGTGTGGTTTAGAACACGGGCTCCATCAAGCAACCAAATTCGTGTTTACCTCATCCGTTTTCTCTCTTCTGAAGGGTTTTCCCTGGAGTGGGCTCTAGGTAGACATTATGGCAGATTCTGCTGGGGCCACAGGTCAGTACAAAAATGGCCTTGTCCAGTTTAAATATTAGGCTAGGGATGGGACCCAGCAGGGTGGGACAGAGAATGGAGGAGATGACCTCTGACCCCAACTCTGGCCCCTTCTGGGGGTCCAGTGTGATCTGCCATAGGTCATGTCCCCTACTCCCCAACCATGATCTACATCACAATGCCGACAGCTCATAACTCAGGGCTGGCCAGGGAAGTCTGGGATTGATTTAGGGTTGGCTCTGATCAGCCCACCCTCTATGGATGATGGCCCCGGGGCGTGGGCAGGAGCAAGGGTCATGGGTGAAGTTCAGGCAGGAAGGTCCTAAGCATCATTGCAGTGCACCTGTGACAAACCCTTCAGTACTCTCCATAGGGAAAGGGGAGGGGGTCTCTCGGACACTTTCCAGGCTCTCATGACCCTCCCTCTCTCTGCTTAGCTCAAGTCCAGGCTCACCAGGGACAGCATCTTCAGGACTCAGGTACTAAGAATCTTAGGAAACAGAAAGCATCATCGCCCACCAAAGAGGACAGTCAACAGACTCTGTGATAGCCCCTTCACAGCCACCAGCCTCACTTAGGCTGAGCAGCTTGGTCCCCAGCCTGCATGCCAGAGGCTGTATAGCCCTTTCCTTTTAGCACATGTCACAGCCCTTTCCCATTAGCACATTTCACATGATACTTTGTATCCAGTCAATGTTCTCCACAGATGTCGGTAAAGAATGTCTTCTGCCCTGGGTGTTTCAGCCCAGCCTCATTCTCCTTCTCATTTCAGCTCGACTCAGGACACATGAACACACATGACACTAAAAGCAAATTCCAAGGGTCAGTGAGATGACTCAGTGGTTAAGGGTGTCTGCCTCCAAGTCTGATGACCTGAGTTCAATTCTTGGGATCTACATGGTGGGCGGAGAGAACCAACTCTTGCAAGTTGTTCTTCCATTGGTTCGACTTCCACAGGTGATCTGTGTCACGGGCCCAGACACACACACACACACACACACACACTAACTGTAAAAAGTGCGTTATTAAAGGTTTCTTTCAATTGCACATGTAGGTTTGTGCTCTTGGAGATCAGACTAGGGAGCTGGATTCCCTGGAGCGTCAGAGGATTATCAGATAGAAGAATCAGGTTCTCAGGAAAAACAATATTTGCTCTTAACCGCTGACCTATTTCTTCAGCCCACAACTGAAGAGCAAACTGCTATGAAATTTCTATTTTTTTAAAACTATCTCACAAAGTAAGCCATCCTTCCAGTGTTCTCATATCTGCTGAGTGTTGGCTCATCCTCTTTCAGACACCTTATTTTTTCTGGCAAGATAAGGTCTTACTATGTAGCTGGCATGGACCTCACAAGGACTCCAGAGCCTTGGGAAGCTGGGCATGTGCCACCATGCCCTGTTTAATGCTCATTTGACAGACACAAACACTTATTTGTCTTCAGAAAAGCCAGGGAGAAAGGCAAGACAGAAGTTTTCCCGGACCTGTTCGATAGAAGGATCTGGACGACCTCACCTGGCAGATGAGTGACGGGCATCCGAGCCACATCTTTCCCTATTCTCTGAGGCCTATGACTTCTCTTTCCCTCTCCTCAGCAGCCCTCTACTTTGAGTTCATTGTGAAGGCCACCCCTTCTGGTGGGGGAAAGAGCACAGACCAGCAGCCGAGTAATTCTGTTTTCCATGTCATCTGTTAACATGGCGCACCATCTGTCAGGTCTACCGACTCTCAGCCTCCCACCCTCTCCCAGAGGCCAGATTGGGGGAGGAGGCCATCTCCCAGAGTCTTGGAGACCCTTCCACTCAAAGGCCTCAGAACACTCACAGAAAGAGCAGGACTACAAGGTGAGTTAAAGTTACAGGAACTGCGGGTTGGGATGGGGGGGGGGGCGGGCAGCCGAATGGCAAGTGGAAAGATTAGCAAAGGATTCACCTGGCTGCTGCTTCCAGCAGAAAGAGCCATAGAGGCCAGGCCACTGGAACTGCTAAGAGGCATGGCCACTCACTTACACCCTGTCCTACAAGGGCTATGGGTGTGGCTGGCTTTTAATTAGCCTTTGACTTCTCTGTTCCCTAGGCCCCTCTCCCACTACACCCCCTCCCCAGGAAGGCCATTGTGCAAGACAATAAAGAATCTATAAATTCTGGGGGACAGGGCTGTGGGGGAAGGGAGCTAGTTACTTCAGTACCTCCTACCCGCTCAGGTCCCTGCAAAGACAGAAAGGGGCAGGCAGGCCTTTCATGGACTTGCCCTTCACAACCTACACAGGAACCTGCTCAGACATGTGGGCCAGATCTCTCGTCATCTTTTACAGATGAAGAAGATGAGTTCCTGGGCTGAAAAGATGGCTCAGTCACCAAAATGTCTGCCATAAAGGTGTGAGGGCCTGAGTCTATCTTCCTCAAAGCCAGAGTGGTGCCTGCAAGATGGCTCCATGGGTAAAGGTGCTTGCAAAAGTCTGGTGAACTGGGCTGGATCTCCAGAATCCACATACAGATGGAAGGAGAGAACTTCTAATCTCCACATACACACTGAGGCATGTCCACAACAAAGAATCAAATGAATACATGTGAAGAAAGAAGTCCTGGTATTTCTGCAACATTGTAATCCTAACATAGGGGAGCGGGGTGCAGGGGTGGGGGTGAGGGGACAGACATGGAGACTGGCAGATTCCTGAAGGCCAGCCTGTCAGTGAGCTCTGGGTTCAATGAGAGATACTATGTAAAAAAAAAAAAAAAAAAAGAAAAAGAAAAGAAAAGAAAAAGAAAAAACTTAAGGTGACAAGAGACTGAGTGTGCTGACCAGCCTGACTGAGGCAGGGTTATGAGTCTGAGGTCAGACTGGGTTACAAGGAAGGAAGGTTAACTCCCTGTATCCAGCTCTTCCTTCACCTCTCTCCTGCTGCTCTCCAGTCACTCCTTTACCTCATTATTTTCTCACTGAACTTCCCTGGAGGTCTAGCTACACATAAGGCCAAGTGCAGAGGAGGCCATGATTGGGAGCTCAGGCCCTCAGCCTAGAAGGGCTCCAAGTAGCGGCCTTGATGAAGAGGACGAAAGGGTGATGGGTAGGTACCCTTGCTCTAATTCACACACTAGCCCCAGTGACAGGTGAAGTGCTTCCTTGTCTCAAAAAAGCCAAAAATGAATGAATGAATGAATGAATGAATGAATGAAGTAACTACAGATTCTCCTCCAAAACCTGTGATATCAATAGTTCTAGGGAGTTAGTTAACTAGTCCTAGGGAGTTAGTTAACTAGTCCTAGGTAGTTGACTAGTTTTCCTGCACCACATTTGATTTCCCTCTTGACCAGTAGGCCTTGGGTCAAATTAGAGAGCTATTGGTTACTCCCAAGTATGTTGCTACTACTCCCATGGAGTCATTGTAAGTCATTGTACCCTTCCCTGATTATTCTCTCTCTCTCTCTCTCTCTCTCTCTCTCTCTCTCTCTCTCTCTCTCTCTGTTTCTTTTTTTCTTTTTTCTTTTTTCTTTTTCCCCTAATGTAGCTTCTCTGTGTGGCCTTGGCTGTCCTGGAACTTACTCTGTAGACCAGGCAGGCCTCAAACACAGAAATCTGCCTTCCTCTGCCTCCCATAGAGGACCTGGAAGAAGAAAGCTTGCTTTATCTTTGTCTGCTTGCTCTTGCTGACAAGTCCATTTTTTCACTGGAATTAGAGAGTACATCTCTGGGCTTCTGGTATCTATTAAAGATCAGCTGAGACATCCAGCCTCATGGCTTTAACTTCAGGATTCTTGCCGGGCAGTGGTGGCGCACGCCTTTAATCCCAGCATTTGGGAAGCAGAGGCAGGCAGATTTGTGAGTTCGAGGCCAGCCTGGTCTACAGAGTGAGTTCCAGGACAGCCAGGACTATACAGAGAAACCCTGTCTTGAACCCCCCCCCCCAAAAAAAAAGAAAAAGAAAAAACAAACAAACAAACTTCAGGATTCTTGTACCTTCTGATGGTAGACAGCCATTGCTGGACTAGTCGAACCACTGCATGAATATATATATATATTCATATGAATATATATATTCATATGAATATATA